GTAGTGCAAGTGGCACGCTTACCACGCGAGCGGTCCGGGGATCAAATCCTGGGTCGTGAGTCGCCCGGGCCAACCAAGCCTTCCATCCCTCCGGGGTCGGTTAATTGGTACCAGACTTGTCTGGGAGGATAAAAACACTGACTTGTACATCGGCTGGCCCCCGCAAGTCATTGTATAGGCCACATCGCATTCAAACGCCACTACGAATGTACAAATGGAAGTAGAATGCGTGCCGCATCCCAAAAAGGGATTGATCAACGGCAAATGCTTTATCCTAAAGAATAGGCTTTATGCTTTGTTTTATCTCCCTCATGAATAGGAGTTGTTAGAATTTTTTGATGTTCATCACGAAATTGGTCCCAAAGACCCTCAGAGCTTTTGGAATAGTGTACTGCGTTTCTGTAGGGTTACTGTTCAACTGATGTAAAAAAATATTCTAATTTAAGTTATCTCAACCATAAACTCTTTCAAGGAGATGATTTTAACGGTCGATCTGGTCTTTTTCCTGACACATTGTTCCAAAGCATGCACAATGGAGGCATTGTTTTTTCCCAGGTTAGTTTTTGGTAAGCGGATCAACTTGGAAATATCGATTGATCCTCGTATCCTTAGCATACAGATGTGATTTTAGGGAGATCTTTGGAAAGAACAACGACGTGTATCACTCCACATACTTCGCGATTTTGGAATGGGGAAAAGCGGAATGGAGGAACAGGTGCAATTTGGAATGTTTACTAATGTCAACAGAAGTACGAAAACGTGATGGGAGGCCTTGCCTTTTCCTAAAATACAAGTTGACTAGATCTTCCTGCCCATCCATCTCTCCATCAGTTTGTTTTTCACGAAATTGTAAGAACCTGAATTACCATTACCTACATCACTACCTGAAGTTTAGAGGCGAACCCCGGGGCCCGACTTTGGGAAGGATACCGCGAGGGAAATTGTAAGGTCCCTACCTACCTAGATCACTCCAGCTTCGCCGCAAAAGTTGGTTAGGGCGCTAATCCTTACGGGCCTGCAACCATCGACCCCGTTGCAACGCTTCCCACCCACCTCGATATCGGCGTGCTCTCGAACGGCGTGATCTCTCGCGTGTTTTGTCTTCTTTGACCGCCCTGCCTCGCCATCGTTCCACATCCGACCTTTTTGAAGGTTAAGGCCTTAATTTCAGCGATCCCAAAGATTTCTCTAGCTTTCCTTTCCACCGCAGCTCGTTCTGCATCAATTACGAAGCGCTCTTTCACCGGGTTTTATCCGGAAGCTTTGCCTATAAGGTTGAATGGGACATTGGGTGAAGGAGTAGCTTGGCAACAATAAGTGTAGCCAGTCGAGGTAGGCCAAGGGATCTATCCTAGTGGCATATTAGGGAGATTAAAAATTGTCCGGTGTTTTGAAGAAATGCGGGGATAGGAAGATGTGTGCATGGGGCTTCTAAACCGAAAACAGGGTGCAGAAAAAAGTCTGGGAAGTGAACCTAAAAGCTCATAGTAAGGCGAGCTCCAAAAGCGTGGAATCGAACAGCGGATTTCCTCGGTGTTTGATTTCTGCGACAGCCTGCGCAGACGCCAACTTGTTCAATATATGACTTCACTTTATCATCTATCTATCATATATCATCTCTTATCTCTATCTTTCACAATTTTAGGTTTCTCTTTCTGCACAAGAATTTCTCAATCATATGAAGAGCATCAAAAACAAGGACGAAGTTGATCTACGAAGACCTTTACAGGTAGGTTATCTCACCACAACCGTAACATTGACTTCTGTGATCTGCTGAAAGGATAAAGCATTTGATCAACTTCTCTTTGGAAGCGGCACGCATTCTTGCGATTTTGTCCTGAAAATGATTTGCGGGGTTGAAGGCACGGGTCGCTATCGGGTAGGGGTGTTTTTGGCTTCAAAGTGAGTGCAGAGAAGCGAAATGAAACGCCAGTGATGAAAAGACTGGAAGAGAAAATCGTCAACGCCAAAAAAAACAAAACCCTTCCCCTACCCATCTCCCAACAGCAGCGAAGGAGGCTGGTTTGGGAGGAAGGCGTGTCCGGAATAATTTTCCAAACATACTAGCCATTGCCGGCTCCGAGCCAGCAGCCGATAAGGTAATCAACGCATCCTTACCAGTTGGGTCCTTCCAGCCATTCACTACCTCCACGGGTGGGCCTGCAAAGGCGGTCATCGCCGCAAATACTGTGCTTAGGTCATTATTACCCTGCAGTTTCGAGTGACGAACGTGGAGCTTGCAGACCCAGCCACAGTAGAGACGGAAGGGATTTTTGCGCCTATTTTGACCAAAGTCGTTAACTGAGGAACAAGTTAGTGGTTCTATCTTGCCACACACACATGTATGGAACCAATTAACTGACCCCAAAGGTGTGAGAGGCTTGCTCGGCTTGGACAACGCATAGTCCGGAATTTGACTCCTGTATCGCTCGCGTTGTAAATAGTGTCGGTTGCAGCTTAGAGGAGGATTACACATAAGGACGATTGTCAAGGAAGGGAAACTCGCCTAGAAGGAGACAGGCTCTCCAAGGCGAGAGAATTCTGAAGAGAGAGCGTTAGCGTTGAAGAGGGTAGCACCTATAAGAGTCACATAATAGGGAGCAGCGGGAGAAAAAGGTCCCATTTCTCGGGTTCTAGGCTATTTACCTCGCTTTTCCTTTTTCTACGCATCACTGACCATTTCTAACCTAATTCCATTAGGCTGCCTTTTCACAGTCAAATCCGCCTTTAACTTTGACTGTAATGATGAGCACCTCATTCCCTTTCCGATGTTTCGACCACTCCTGACTGAATCCTCTAAGGTTTTTGTCGCAAACGTCATCAACAGGACGTTATTTGGATATGGGTACAGCTACGATAACGCCGATCGCCTTATGAGGGTTGCGGATACTTTAGCCATATTATTCGACGAGGCGAGGTGGGATCTGTTCATTTGTTTACTGCTTACTGTGACTTTTTACAATACTGTAATTAACTTTGCACCATTTAGGAGCAGCAAAGTGGTATTTCTCGCTCAACTCATGCCTTCTATACTTGCGATTCCAGTGCTGCGCAATATTCTCATCGGAAGGTTGGAGAAACTTATGGCAGAAGTAAGATCTACTTGCATTTACTAAAACCACTTTTCGTGGAAGCTGAAATTGGTTCATTGGGTTCAAGC